GCCAGCCGTGCCGAAAAGTTACACGACGAGTTGACGAAGAAGTTTTCACCCACTGGAAATCATGATTTGATATACGAGTACACGGACGCGGACGGAAACAAAAAGCGCTGGGATCCCATCCAGTGGGTGGTCGAAAAGAAAGACTTGTTCGGGAGAAACTTCAATAACATCAAGTTGGGGGAGTCGGCCGCGAAGAACCCGCAAATGAACGAGGTTGAATTGAAAAAGAGAATACAGGACCACATTGCCCTCTTTAACATTGATGGTGATGGGGGCAAGGGCAAGGGACTCATGGTTTACGATCCAAGATATGCAGGAACCAATGGCAGGCATCAGCACGTTATCAATGTACAAAACAAAGTCGGGGGTGTGTACAGTGGTAACTGTAAATAGAGATTCTTGAATCGTTCCCGGAGGCGTCTAGGATAGCTTTGCCTTGGAAGGCTTAGGGATGGTACCAATGACATGTCAGCAATGACTTTTTCAGTGGATGGCTTAGGACATCTCACAAACTTGCAACTGGAGCTCAAAAGACTGATCATCAGGAAGAATTCATTCTAGCAAAGCAACAGACAGCAATCTACTTCCCTCTCCCCCTCCCCCTCCCCCTCCCCCTTCCCTTCCCCCTCTTCTTCTCCACCCTCCCACCCCTCGCCTCCAAAACATGCTGAGTGGTACCCTCAGCCTGGTACCACCTCAGCCCCTGGGGCCCGGCACGCAACACTCTAATGCGGCCATCATTATCTACTCTGATGCCTTGGACTACTTCAGGTGCTTTTGGCGCCCTGACGCGCGCGTTCATGCATGGCGAGGGACAATGCCCTGCTTGCTGGCATTTTCGACCTGCAGATGATTAGCCATTGCTCAAAGGCAAAGTGAGAGGTAGATGGTTGAAGCAACTCGGGAGTTATCAAGGAGAATGTAGTGGGGAACCTACCTGTAGTTATGGACGCGGCAGCTCTGCAGACGTGTCTGACGATCAACCGCGACGCGTCTAGTCCTCGACACGTCTTCCCAGCGCTGCAGCTGGCTGGCGTCCTTGATAGGACTAGCGTGGACTGAGCATCCATTGGGGAGCTGCACCTGGGCAGGGGTGCCAGCAGCACTTCGAGCTCGAGGGCAGCCCGGATAGGATTGGCTTGAGCTGTGCAGTGCAGCCCGGTCCATAGGAGGACATGATGGGAGCAAGTTGGCGTGGGTTAGGGTCCCCTCAGCCCTATGGCTTGACTTCTAACTTTCACACTCACAGGTCAAAGTTGAAGTTGGTTAGATACTATTAATTTCCTTCCATGTAGTCCAAGTGGACATGACTCTTGACCTGATTGCCGTGATTTTGCAAGACTCTGCTGTGACTGTAGACCATCACTGATATGTTCTGGTTTGGATGTTCGAACTAGTACAGATTAGAAGTGGCTTCGCGTCTTCTCCTCTAGCTATACGCGTTCAAAGGAGTTAAGTCCGTCTGACAGTCAGAGACAGCTCTTTGGTGTTGGATGTTATCAATCTACCTGTTATCCACGTTGTAGAGCAACGTTCTGGAGCTTGGATATCCTAAATGGGCGAGCTTCTGGGGTCCAATCAGAGTGTCTGCGGCAGATTTCTTTCCACTTAATCGAAATCCAGGTATCCAAGCTGAACGAACTATGTGTAATCGGCCGAGTTGATCTTCCCGGAATGTAGGTTCACCGAGTGAAATTCTCGCTATCCTGCTCAGCGGCCGCAAATCTGGATATCTAAATCAGGAAAGATTGCGGTTGGATATCCAGACTTGTGACCTTGACAAAATCCAAAACTGCTGGCACATTTTGATATCCCCAATGTGGACATTACTGGCGCCGTTGCTGGCACGTGACTTTATCAGCGTGACTGACGAAATGAAGCTTGTTATCCCGGAGATAATCCAGGAGCTTCTTCTCATTTTTCATATTTGAGAAGTGGTATCTAGGTGAAACGTACCGAGGCGGGATTCTGGAACTGGTGGTTGTTTCTCTCGGTCTCCAGCAGACTTGTGGACTTCTTAAAGCCCCATGCACAGTGGGTGCTAGAATTCATCGGACAGCAGATCAAGGATGAGTTAAGATCTCAGCTTCCCTCGCATACACTACTTAGGCCATTTACGAAAAATTAGGGAGAGGAGAGACTCTTAAATTGCTCCCGAAGACCTCTAGGATATACGTGTTTTGCTGAATGCTAATGGCGGAGCCTTCTATTGTTGAACCTGACAGAAGTGTCCGATGAATTGCGGCACCCTCTGTGCATGGGTAGCATGGCTACATAACACAACCGGGCTGAAGCGGAGGCAGGGCTTTCGACTTGTATTACGATGTCGTGTATCCTGTATCCGAGACGCTGGGAAAGAACCCGAGTTCTGTGACAAGTGAAGGAAACTAGGCGCTGATATATGCTGCAGGTATCCGTTCAGCTCTTCCAGCTTTTGACTCGTTTTGGGATCTGAACTTTCCCATTCTCGGGTCTCACTATTTATGCTTGGTCTCAGGTGGTGAGTTTTAAACGGTGCGGCTTCCCTTGGAGCTCTTCCTGTCAGTATGGGAACACCTTGGCTGGCATCCTATGCCTTTGCTACTTCCGGGTTTTACTCTCACCTTCACTCCCACCTTCTACAGTTCCCTTCAAAGATCTCTTCTACGTGTTTTCAGAGTACCACACCGTCAAGATGCGGAGAACATCAGTTAATCGCTTCTGCACTATTCTTCTGGGACCACCTCTTCTCGCCATCATCACCATCTCCATATATTGGGCATGCACCGGAAGCTTCTCCGGCTCCTCTGTGGAGTACAACAAGAAGTTCGGCGACTACTGGACTCTCCAAAAGCCGTCGTACGTCTGCTCCATCGTCCAACTCTTTGATCTATTCCCCACGCTAACTGCCAAAGAACCTCCCACCGCCCCAACCCCCAACCAGACGACCCAACTTGTGACCCTTGGTCCTCACCCTCGCACCTCTACCTTAACACCACCCACCCACTCTCCTCCCGCCTCCATACCTACAACCCATCCTGCCAACCCGCCTCACCCCCCTGGATCTCCCAAATCCAGTCAACGCTTCAAACCAAAACCCCCATCCCGGCCCTTGCCAACAAAGAAGTCCTCCTCGTCGGCGACAGCGTCGACCGCCGCATCCTCTTCGACCTCTGCAATGCCACCCTCGGTCTGCCGTTCCAAAGCCGCAGCCTCTACAACTTCAGCGAGCCGAATACCAATGCCACCGGCGGAGTGCCGCATACGTGTTCGATCCCACAATTGAATTTGACGCTGAGCAATTTCTTCTTCTACGGCTTTGATGAGACGGATATGTTTAAGGGGCTGGGACCGTATTGTCCACCGGGGCGGTTTACCGAGAGGTTTGAGCTGCTCAAACGGACGTTGAAGACGCTGCCGAGTGGCGGGACTCCGGATCTGGTGGTTGTGAATGTAGGGTTGTGGGAGCTGTTGAGACATCATGTTCTCGCTGAGCGAACGGACGCCGTTGACCCGTTGGATCTACACGAGGACTTTCAGCGCGAGTTTCTGGACAACGCGGTCAAGTTTCTCCGTGAAATCCGCGAGGCGATCGGACCGAAACCTAGGATTCGGTTCAGGGAGAACCATACCCCTTCCCCATCTCCGAACGCGGGCGATGAGAATTTCATCACGGATGAGAAGGTGGCCAACGGCAAGAAGAGGGTGCGGTATACGAGTGTGCGGATGGGGACGCTGAATGCGTTGATAGAGGAGGCGGTGAGGAGGGCTAACGAAGAGGGGATGGATGTGGGAATGTGGTTTGTGGGAAGGGCGATGAGGGTGTGGCCACCGAAGATGTGGGTGGAGGATGACTGTCATCCCAAGAAGGGGATTCTGGCGGGAGTTTGGGGCGAGGGCTTGCTGGAGATGGTGGCCAGGGCGCCACGGTTGAAGAAGGTATAAATACGGTTGAGGAAGACGTTGAGGACGTAAGGACTGATAATAATTCGTGAGAAGACCTCTGGTTAGACTGGTCACTGACCTAGAAGTACTTCCAAATGGTAAAAGAACTCTCTTGCTGATGTTTTCGGGATAGATCCAGGAGATTTTGATCCTTCCATCTGTCACAAAACGGCCAAGGCTTGCGGCCGGTCGAGGAGTGTACAACACTTTTCGACCGAACCGCTTGTCCACTGGTTTCGCTGGATGATGCCCAGTCGAAATAACCCAGTGCAGCATGCTTGCATGCTGCTTTGCGTTGAACATACATTAGTAACCATTGCACGTGACACCAAAGTTCGTTGAAATACCATCGGACCCATATCAGATGTAAAACGTCGCCCTCTCGCCGTCTCGCTTGCGAGGTGTCTTCGACTGGTGTGATTAGTCACATCAGCCTCGGCACGGATAAGGTTTGATGTTTAGACCAGCGTATAGTATGACGAACCCACTTCCGCGGCCTCCAAAATGCAAGATACAGATCATGCCGTTGGGGCCCATAAGGTACCTATCTTCATATATGCCCAACTGACAAAGGGGATAACTGCAATGTACAGACGGCGTGCAGTTGATGGCAATGAATGAGGAATTACTGCAGAATTTCCCATTTGTACATGCCTCGTTGTTTTTAAGACATGCATGGTGTTCGTTCTAATCTCCTTCCTATGACCCGCTCCATCTCAACCTGATGGGAGGAACAGACCATCACTGCCTTTATTCAAGGCATCGCGTATCTCGAAGACGGACTTTGTTAAGCACTTTGGTGTGTGTTCAGGGCAAATAGAATCTCTGCGGGAGGCAAATCGAATCTCTGCGCGATACGGGGTACGGAGGGCAAATCGAATCTCTGCGGTACGGCGTACGGAAGGCAAATCGAATCTCTACGCGGTACGGCGTACGGAGGGCAAATCGGACTTCTACGCGGTACGGGATACGCGGGCAAATCGCACCTCTAGAGTATGAGAAACAGAGGCAAATTGACTCTAATCATTAGGGAATTGATGAACCAAAAAAATGGATCGGGTAAACAAAAAAGCTGGGGGCCCATCCGCGATTCGAACGCGAGACCACTCACAAATTGAATCAAGGACCCAAAGCGAGTATCATACCACTAGACCAATGGGCCAACGATAATTTGTTGGAATTACAAATATAACGAGCTTATGAAGGTCAAAAAAGAGTTTCTGGTCACTCCCCGGCTTGGGAAGGCATCACAACGCAGATTTTCTCAAAGACAGTGTGGGGAACCTGTCAACCAAAGCTCAGACATGTATGGGAAGGTGCAGTGTACTTGATTTGAAGTGGTGTTGGCGTGTTGTGTTGGCATCGAAGGAAGCGCGGGGTAGAAAGAGGGGGGCACGAATACGGAAATCAGTTAAGCGAGCAGAACCTCTGCAGTGCAAAACCTCTCTATTGTTTTCAACTACACTTCGTCTCTGGTCATCGCAGGCCGACATGTGCCAACCCAGCCAGGTTATCAAAATCTCACTTCTAAGATTCTGCCATTGCGTGAGCGAGCTGCGGATAGCTTCGAACGTCAGACAACGGCTATCTATTCCGGCCTTGGCGCGAAAGGCAATCGAACATCTGGATGAGAAGAGACAATATTTAATTCATCAATTGACCAGCTGTCCGAATCTTGAAAGCTCAGGTATTCTCGAGGACCTACACTTTGAAGCCAGGGGCTGACTCGCTGACTACTCTATGAACTCGACAGGATGCCCGCTTGCGAATATGTTCTCTCCGACGCGATATGAAAGTACAGCAGCGGCACCAAACTCGCAAACCGAGTATGAGACTGTGTTGCGGATTTCACGATGATGTATGCGACCTACCTCGAACCTCCTGTGCGCCTTCAACCTTGCGACCCCTCCCGCGACATAAGAGCTTGCCAAACAGAAAAGGAGAACATTCGGACAATTGTCATGACCATTTACCGCAGTAGTACATTTCCTCAAGGCCCTTGAAGGCGAACTGTCGCGCATAAGGTATAGTAGAATCCGCAGCGAAATGCTGCCAAGGACGAACGTATTCATCGACACTTCGACAGTTTGATAAAAACAGCAAGAGACGAAGCCCACGGATTCATCCCAGATATATCTGGAAAGGGGCGGTTTATCGGATGGTAAGGTCGATATCCAGATACGCATCCGCAGTCGATGTCGAAACCCTTCAAGGAACCGATCCATGACGAACCGAGAGTCCGACTCCTATGGCGTTGCCTAAGCCACTCTGCAAAAATCGAAGAAAAGGTAGGTTCCTAGATCAATCCCGCAGGCATCTAGGAAGGAGAGCTTTGTCCATTGGGACGTCCCGGCTCTGGATATACCGCCCTTGTAGCTATGGTAACCCGTGGGAGGATCCGGATTCCCGACGAACCTAAACTTGAACTTCTACCGCGCTACCTCTGCCATTTCTCGGAAGCTGAAGAAAAGGTAAGCTCCCAGACGTATCCCAGAGATATCCGCAAAGGAGAACCTTCGCCGGTACTATGTAAAACTTTAATGTTGCTTGAGGGTTTGAATCTACTCTACTACCGCATAACCTCTGCCACTTCTCCACATTCAGGTGACGGTGGGCCCTAGAATCCATCCCCGGCGTACCTATGAGGAGAGCTTTCGTCGAATAGCACGTCGAAGCTTCAATAATTTCCTGTAGACGATCCAAGAATATATGGGAAAATACAACCCAACCATGAACCAAATCGCAAGTCCTTCGCCATCCCTCGACCAGTCCTCAAAAGGCGAAAGAAGGATAGCCTCTCCAACTTCTCCCGGAGGTCTCTAGGACAAAGAGCGTCTCCCAAATGGCGCGGTAAGTAGGGGCTCGTGTAACGATGCATAGAAGCACAGAAACCGGACTGTGGGAGGATGTATAGATGAGCACGTGATCTAGCACGTGACCCTGTTATTCATGGTCGATATAGGTACTGCGACAACCGGTTCTACTCAATTTCAACGAATAGCATCACATTTGTACATGAAGAGAAGTCGATTAAACGAATAATATTATTTTTGTTTCTTGTAATAGCAGAGCCACCTGCATCTCGCTAGCAACACCACGTAGTAGTCGTACAATTTCCCAGACAACACACAAGGCCACTTTCGACCTCGTCCGTCGTGCACACAGAGCTCATATCTTTCCATTGATACCTCGGTCACTCCTTGCATCCCATACAGTCCCATCAGAAAATCCCATCATTCTCGTGCTCAGCGCCTACCCCTTCCACCCAAGTCGCCCTTCTTCTTCCTATCTCTTCCATCCCTAACCTTGGGCCTCTTCACAATAAGCGGCACACCTCTCAACATCTCCTCCATCCACTTGACCATAAAGTCATCCACGTGACCCAAGACCTCATCAACCTCCACCTCAAGCCCCGGCTTCGCAGACCTATCCGTAGAGGTCTTTGGAACGGCGATCGCATCCTCAACCCCAGCAGCAGGCGTAGGCGGCACACTGGTCTTCGGCGTCGCATCAGTGCTCGTAGCAGTATCTCCGACAACCATCGACTCATTGAAATCTTCCTTGTCCGCGGCATCCTCCACCACAATCTCTTTCTGAGCGACCTTGGCCGCAACAGCATCCTCCTCGTCCTCGGCACTCTCAATGACCTTATTCAAACCAGTAACATCCCCAAGCACACGATCCATGGCCGCGGCCGCTTCATCCTCCATGCCCTCGCCATCCCCGTCGTCAAGCGCATCCTTGTAATCCACGCGGTTGAAAAAGTCGGTCGTGAACTCGCCCTTCTGGATGATCACGTCATCGAGGAGGCGCTTCTGGTTTGACTTGCGTAGGATGTTGGCTTCGATGGTATACTCGCTGACGAAGCGGTAAATGTGCACGTCGCGGGTCTGGCCGATGCGGTGACAGCGGTCTTGACACTGCTTGTCCATCGCCGGGTTCCAGTCGAGGTCGTAAAAGATGACCGTGTCGGCACCCGTCAAGTTTATGCCGAGGCCGCCGGACCGCGAGGATAGAATGAAGGCGAGGATGCGTGGGTCGTTATTAAACCGGTCGGTGAGGATTTGTCGTTGCTCAATCTTGGTTGCGCCGTCGAGACGCAAGTAGCGATGCCCGTGAATGTTCAGGAATTGCTCGAGAATGTCGAGGACCTTTGTCATCTGCGTGAAGATGAGAGCGCGGTGACCGCCAGCTTGGAGATCTCGGAGGAGTTTTTCGAGGCGTTGGAGTTTGCCGCAATCGTATTGGAGAAGACGTTTGTCGGGAAATGCGATGGACTGGCGGATTCGGGCCTCGTGGAAAGGGTCGGGTTCGAATGGCGAGGGGAGAGATAGTTGCGCATTTTGAACTGCCAAAGTACCGGCCGTAGTAAGAGCGAGTGGAGTGAGGTCACCTGTCACCACAGCTGGCGTAATGCATGTGAACTTCTGAATCGTTGATTCGAGTTCAGCAGATCGCTTGTCCGTGGGAGTGATGAGATCGGTGAACACCAAAGGTGCTTTGTAGCGGATATCTCTGTTGCCTGTATCCGGCCTCTTCGACTCAACGGTCCGGAAGAGATTGACCCGAGCATCAAGCCGTTGCCTCAACCCTTTTCCGTAGATAGGCTGCCGCGCCATCCTTGACTTGGTGATTGCGAGGCAACTTTGCAGATGCTCCAACGCTGACGCCTTCGCTTGCGCGTTAACTTGGGAGAGTGTAGCTGAGATGGAAGAGCCGTCAAAGCCGTCACTGGAGTCCGTTTTGCATGACTGTTGCTCGACAAGATCCTGCAAGATTGCTGTTGCCTGAATTTTCCGAGCATTCAAGAAGTCTGCTGCAGACATGCTTTCGTTCGCCGCTGGTTTCAATCCGACAAAGTCCAGATCAATTGCCTCCATATGATCCTCAGCTAAGAGTCGCCTCCTGACAAGAAGCTCTTTGATTTCGTAGTCCGCCACGGCCGACTTTGGCATTGCGAACGAGGTAACGATTTGCCTTGTCTCGAACAGGTCTGGATGATTGCACACCTTCCGAAGAGACATCAAACAATTGATAATAGACATGTAATTGCCAGACGCGAGAGTCTGCCGCGTATCAGCCCTCTGCATGAACCCATCATACAGCTGGCGTTGACGCTTCGAAAGACGGCAGTATACAACATGCTCGTATTTTCCAGGCATTTGCTTCTCGACATCCGCTTTGAGACGTCGAAGGAGATACGGACGAAGGATAGTATGCAACCTGTTGACGGCTTCCTGTGCTTTTTTGTCGAGTTGCTGACGGCCTTGGTCAAGAATTTGATTCGTGGGAGCCTTCAGTGCGCCAACAAATTGCTCCAATTCAGAGAACTTGCTCTGTCCATTCGCATCTGTAGGCATGAGGAAAAACAGTAGCGACCACAGCTCATTGAGGTTGTTCTGCAGGGGGGTTCCAGTAAGGAGGAGGCGTGCACGAGTCTTAAAACCGAGAAGAGTTTGCCATCGCTGGGTCTGAAAGTTCTTGATGTTATGTGCTTCATCGAGAATGAGGTAGTGCCAATTCCGCCGCTTGAACGCTTGGGCGTCTTGAAGAATGAGCTGGTAAGAGGTGATGCAGACATTGTATAGGTCGTCGTTGAGCCAGCCTTGACGCTTCTTCTTTCGTTCCTCGACATTTCCATAATATGTCAAAATCTTGAAACCAGGCAGAAACTTCTTAAACTCCATCTCCCAGTTGAGAATGACGGAGGTTGGAACAACCACGAGATGAGGTCCCCAAATCCCATAGTCGACGGCCAGATGGGCGAGTAAAGAGATGGTTTGGATGGTTTTCCCGAGGCCCATTTCGTCCGCAAGAATCCCGTTTGTGTTGTTGGCGTACAGTCCAGCAAGCCAGTCCAGTCCGTAGTGCTGATACTCCCGCAAGGTACCCCGAAGAAGAGACGGTACCCTGGTTTTGATGGCATCAGTCACATCTGCATCCATCTTGTCTGGTTCCGGGCTATGGAAGCCATTTGTGATGGGCTCCGGTGCATCCACATCCATCTCGTCAGAATCCAAACTCTTCTTCCCGCCGAGAGAATCCGGCGCCTCGGTTGTGGCCTGGTCACCGGCTTCATCATCTTCTGTCGCCAGAATTTTTCCATCTTCCGTGTGACCGTTGACTTTGACAGCAAAATCTCCGGTAGCAGCATCGGCGTCG